GCTAGCCCACGCAGGAACGCGGGATCCAGAATTGAGAGGGCGCTCCCAACATTAGCACGTTCGCTGAACGCGGAAATTCCCCAACAGTGCCAAAAGGGACAAAAGGCTTGAGTCCCATAGCTTCACTTTCCCTAATAGTACATCCAGCCAAAGGAACAGCTGTCGGGCTTTGGGGCTTTTTCTCTCGCTCTTCTGGGGCGTTGACGGCCCCGGTCACATCTTTCGTAAACCCACGTTGACGTCGGTCCACCATAATGACACTCATAAAGTGTTTGGTACTACCGACGTTGTCAGTCCTCTCAAAGCAGCCAATTTTCACAACTCCACGACCGCTCGTCGTGATGCTCAATGGCGGCGGGACACAATGGTCAACAAAAAAGTCCGAGAATGTCGCTGTATGGTTCCACAGCAGACGTGCCAAATGGTGAACTGCGGTGGCCGATTGCTGTGCTTCCTCGCTTCTCAGATGGTGTGGGCCGCAAGAAAAGTAATGCCTCACCGGTCAAAACTTTAAACGTCTCTCGAGCGCGTGTCTATAGTGCAGCAAGGATGATTGTGAAGAGGCAAGAAACTTCCTCATGTCGAAGAGTGCCACAAAATTTCTTTGCTTTCGCAGCTAACGTATTATTAAAAGTGTTTTTTTTGTGTTGTTTTTTGTGTTTACTTTATTTGACTGCGTTTATCCAATGCTCAAAATATGTGTTAAAAAAAGCACAATAAATTGTGCCCTGCCTTTGAGCGATATTATGCCTGGAATAATTAATTACGGGGTAGCGATTATAATATTAAAAGTTTTAACCCGGTTATAACCGGGTTTAAAGATTTATCAGCGTCCATATGACTGAACCGTATGATATATCAGAAGCATTTTTCTCAATAATGAACGCACGCGTGATCTTCATATTTGGCCATGTTTGTCTATTATACTTTACCTGTCAGTCGACACATAAATGGCATTGTTTCTCTTGCACCAGTTTTTAGTAACTTTCTAATCGGCGATATTTTAATTAAATAAACGCGGCGCACATCATCGACAGTATTTTGAGTTTTCTGTATATAATACGTGTATGCGTAAGGGAGATTGTCTTGATTCACCCGAAATTCTCGAGTCTTTTGACAGAACCACTTAATTTTCAGATTTCTATTCATGTGGTCCCTCGCATGGTATTTTGAGATATGTGTCATATGGGTGCATATGATTTTTTTTTTTTTTTTTTTTTTTATGGAAACCTTATAGGCACGGTCACACATGGCCGGCGAAAGCCCGAGGCAGACGAGCGGACTTCCGGAAACGCGCTTTGGGAACGGCTGCTGTATCGCGACAGCAGCCGCGCTACACCCGCCGCGTGCATGTCACCATTGCGCGCCCCGGTGATTGTTCCGTTGTGCTATTTTCATTTAGTGCCAGCTGTGATTTTTTTTAAAAAAAGGAACGAGGTATTCTTTACTCCGTTAGACAGACAGACTAAATATATGTTACTCGCTACACAGACAGAGCGAATAGATGTTACTCGGTTGTGTTCTCGGAAAGTAACAAATTGTTACTTATCTAACAAAATAGTATTAAATATAAAAAATAGCTCCTTGCTTGTCACGCGCGCCCCGTAACACTCTGCCAGAGAGCCAAGTATCAACCTGGGATGCAAAGCAGAGGAAAATGTTTTGACTTGTTCAACGAACCATGTTTGTGCCGCGCACCTGTCGTTGAGCTGGCAGCCCCAATTCCAGGCGGTTGCGCACAGACCGTGTGAGCTGCTACCAGCGAAGGTAAAGACTAATTAAACATGGGTAAGTATGCTTTCCAGCTAGCTTCTCGTCTTCAAGAATCGGTTGTTCTTCTATTCATTCTAGCCGCATAACTTCCCTGTTCTCTTTACAACGTTCTATTGTTGGAGTAATATGCCTCTTTTCCAGCGCATCCCTCAATGTTTTGTAGCCGGGTACGCCGTTTATCAATGAGTCCGACGCGGGTGTCGGCACTGAATCTGCGCAGCAGCGTTCAAAAACTTGGCTAGTGCCGAAGCCCATTGTTCATTTTCGTGCTTTTTGTCTCCACAAAGGACGTTCTTCCATAAATCTGGCTTCCTCCACACTGATCCTCTCTGGGCTAAATAACAAACTGATTATACAAGGTTTTTTTTTTTTTATTTTTACTTTAACCGATTTGTTTAAAAAAAAAAAAGCCGTGAAATCTACATTTATGCGGTTTGTGCAGGTGAGTTATACGGCCAGGGGGACATAGTGTAAGGAGATATTCGTAACTATCAGTCGGCCAATTAGGTAAAGTTTGTGAATTAACTTTTTATTTATTACAAATAAACATATGGTTTAAATTATAAACTTGCTGAGTACGATCGAAAACCGCTATATCAACACTTTTTAGAAGGATATAATGCCGGGGCAGCATTTTACGGCGTTTTGTAAAAACACTCTGTACGCGTTTCTAGATTTCGGTTTCTTCTCGGAGCGTAAATGCCCCGGAGTCCGCCACTAGGGAGCAGGACCCACGGTCCTGCTCCCCAGTGGCTGAGACGCGCAACAACCGTGCTCCCTTCCTTCCTCCATTCTACGGGCTGCGACCTCCGAAGAGCAGGACCGCGGGCGCAGAGATGTGCTCCGATAAGAAACCGAAATCTCGAAACGCGTCCGGACAGAGCGTTTTTACAGAACGCCGTAAAATGCTGCCCCGGCTTTATAACCCTCTGAAAATAGTTGGTTTCGTGGTTTTCGGTGATGCTCAGCGAGTTTCTAATTGGAACTATATGTCTATTTGCACTAATTAAAAAGCTAATTAAAATCTTTTTCTTAATTTGCAGACTAATAGTTGCGACTATCTCCCTATACTACGTCCTTTTGGCCGTAAAACTCACCTGCACATACCGCATTAGTGTAGCTTTCTCGGCTTTTTTTAAACAAACCTGCTAAGTTAAAAAAAAAAAAAAACAACTGTATTTTAAGCCGCGATATTAGCAGTGCCTTTTCTTCCAAAAATAAAAAGTTTCGTGAAATAAAAAAAAAAATAATTTAAAAAAATTGGCACGCTGCTGAAATGTTACGTTCTAAATGGGACAAATAACACCGTGGCCAGTGGCACGGCTGTAAAATATACGGGTGCAGAGAAGCATTCCATTGTTCGCAGTCGCCTGCTAGTAGGGTTGAAGTTTCTACGCCATCGCACTGTTTACAGACAAGCCCGCGGTTGCCTACGCCGGGTGTGGCCACTGCCGGCGCGGAGAAACATGATTCGCGTGAGAGAAAACTTCTGCGCATGCGCAGTAACGACAGCAGCGCCGCCGTAGCGGTGTGACGTCAGAGAGTACTTCTACGACGATGACGCTGTTCTTTTTTTTCCACGAAATCCCATCGGCGCCTTTGTGAACCTTCGGCTCAAACGTTGTGTTTGACAAGTCCAGAGCCCCTGGTCGAAAAAAATTGGAGGCGATCGTGCGGCACCGCGCAACCAGTAGCACATCGGTGTTCCGGAATTTTGTACTATGCGCGGGACTTATACTCCGATTTGTTTTATATATGTATTTTCTTCGGAGTACATATGACTGGCGCTTCGCGTAACATGCATCGTGTATTGTCCGCCCGCCAGGGGAGCGGCGGACGGTATTGACGCTTTCATTTTTTTCCTCTTGTTCTCAGTCAAGTGGGTTCCGTATCTGGTATGCGGGTTGAAAAATTAATAAGACATTTCCACCTGAAATATGCGAAAAAATATATACATATAAGGCGAAACAAGGATGTGTGACAATCGCGAATTTTTCGTGAAGAGCTTCCAGCGGCTTGGAGAGATCAAAACGATGTGTTTAACGCATATCAGAAGTGACGACATTCAAGATGCCCTCGTGGAAAAGGTATATACGTGAACAGCGACGACACAGCATCATTTCGTGTTCTTTGTGGAGAAACCAACTACTGCGAGGAAGCGCACATCCCGTTCGTAACTAGCCGGCATAACGTGACAGGCTTTGGTTTGGTGCATAAAGCCCACAACATTCCAAACTTTATCCGACGAACGTCATCGATCCCTACCTTACACTTCGAGTGTTTCGCAAGCCGCACAGTATAACTTACAAATGTACAAGGTGTTTCACAAAACATTGACACTAATTTAAAAGTCGCATTTTAACTAAAAAAGTATACTTCAGCACAACTTTATTTACCGAGGCGGACGTCAGTTAGAGAGTGTAGCATGGAAGTTACCATGCACGCTGCACTCTGGTGTCGCTCCGGGCGCGCTGCTTTCGGCACTGTTTTCTACTTTGTTTCGGTACGGCAGACTCTAGACAGTCTATATTCGCCACGGAACAGCACGAACAATAATTAGGCTTTCTTACTTTTAAGAATTTGTATATGATATTTTGACGACGGGCAAGAAGTCTCTATTTGTAATCTGACAAATGAGAGGAATTATTAAAAGTAAGTCACATATTTTACGTACTTATATTGTTACTTTTCACATTTTATTTATACCGTGACGTTTTCCGCTGTCAATAGTATTTCTTTTTTTCATTTCAAGCGTTAACTATTACAAAACAATATTCCCAGTCGTTTCTGAAACAGCCTGTATACCGGGTGTTTCAGCGAACACTCAAAAATCCCTAAAGTGGCTAAGAAAAAACAAACAGAAAAAAACTCTCTACTGGAGCAAAGTGCCAGCAACGGCACACACAAAGAATTGCCAAACAGAAACACTACTTAGCTGAATATTACACTGGAAGTTACATACTTCTAATTAGTGAAAATAAACATATCGTCCCATCTAAAATCTTGTTCAGCATAATCGAAGACCCCTAAATCTGCTTCGAGATACGACAGCCATATATGCTACGGCAATCAAACAATGCCACGCTTGGTTGCCATCATAACACGTAGTCGCACTTCGACATAAGATTTAGCTAATTAGCTAAACGTAGGCAACCCCTTTTTTCCTATAGTATGCCGTTGAACTGGACCCACCTCTTAATTGGCGTGTAGAGAGTTCTGACATCTGGCTTACAAGAACACTACGTCATAATATGTCTTAACGCATATGGGCTATATTCTGGGACATGGTTCACTGCTTGAGGATGAGCCATAAGTATTGAAAACAGTGTAGTTGTGTTTTTTTACTCGAACATGGAACATGTTTCAAATGCAGATTCGCCCATAACGGCACGCATTGAGGACGGCATCGTGTATTCACCGCTCCCGTCTTTCGATATACCCAAGTGTTCCTTCTACGCAATGGCAAGGGAGCTAGTGAAGAATGCTCCTGAAAAGTTGATGCTGGTAAGTAATGATGCAGTTGACATGTCCCTTACTGAATAAGAAGCTGAAAAACACTCGAATGACCGCCTTGATCCGTCTAATGCCACAGCAATGACTTAGTTTTTCGTAGTATATCCATCATATATGGCATCAAACTCTTAATGATGGCTACCTATTGACACAAATATGTCCAAAGCTGAACTTGGAAATTTAACATTCAAGTAGTTACGTTCGTTTTTTTCTCTAACGTGGCTCTCCTCCCATCGGTTCTCTACCGCTCCACCTTTTCCATTTCGGCGGCCGCTTCTCGTGGCGATCTGCCAGGCTTTGTCAGTATAGAGGAGGCTATGGCTAGAGTTTCCACTCGTGCAATGGGCGCAATGCTGGTGGCGGAAAAACACGGAGGATAAAATAAAATAAATAAATAAAAATGAATAAATAACAGACGGAAATACCGCGCTGGGGCTTTTTTCTTGTTGCACGACTGGTAATTCTAGTTCACCACCGCGTTTCCCACGCGCCCAAATTGCTTATTTAGAGGTTTTCGATGATGCTCAGCGAGTTTCTGATTCGAGCAATATCTTTATTTTTAATGATTAGAAAGATAATTAACACATTATAGTTAATTAACCGACTTGTCACGACCATTATCCACGTAAATATGTCCCCCTTGCCGCATAGCTCAACTGCACACACCGGATTAGTGCAATGTACACAGCTTTTCTAAAACAATTTGTAGAGATTTGAAGAAAAAAAAAACACCATGTATATTTATTTTACGCGAAACATGACTCCAGTATATCGTTCGAAGGCAGTTGAACAAACATTTTAGGAATGGTTTATGTCGTTCTCCAAGGCAAAAGGCAATGAACCCTGTCGTGGTTTCTGCCTTCACCCAGTGTTCTTTATAAGAGCGAACCCGATTCACAAATACACGCATAAAAATGCATATTATTCGTTGACGTTCGCTCATAATACAGGCGTTTTGATTTCATCCCATTTGATTTCATTGATGTCGTCATTGTTCTTTATGGGCATAGAAGAAATTTAAACAATAAAATGTTGAGTGAAAATTCGATGGCAGAACCTGCTTGCACTTTGCTTAACCCGTTCTGAGGGCATGGCTTGTACTTCGCGATGTATATCGTTTTTATTACCAACGAATAATGTATGGTTCACATATATATACTAATTAAATAAACCCAACCTCAATGTTTTATAAAACCAACATAGTAATCAGAGGAACGAGGTGGCCGAAAGGTATGGGTTACTGTCCGGCCTATTTCACATAACAAAAACGCGCACTTAGACTCTATGGCTATGGTGTTAGCTGTAATACATAATAAGCCCACGTGAGAGTCAAATGTGGCATTGTTCGCATGGTGGCGCATCAATTAACCTCTAATTGGTACTTGTATAAATATTTTACAGATTATGCATCCGTCCCAGCCTCTGTACACGCATACTTTAGGACTAATTAACGCTGAGCTAAGGGAGAATCTGACCTGATTTTACCTGTCTCGTGTTGTATTTGGAAGATTATTGTTCACAACTTAAAGTACACTTTGACTCCTTTGATAATATATATATATATATATATATATATATATATATATATATTTCACTCTGAAAAGAAACAGCTGTTGTTTTTTTTTCGTCTATAGCTTAGCCACGGTCTCATACCGAAAAACACTTTCTTTATAGAGTCCGAGGATATATTTAAAAAATGTCTTATACATTCATTTTTCTGCAGGTTGACGATTCACATGCTTTGACACGGGCCGAATGCCTGACTCAAATGCAGCGCTACGCTGCAGGGTTCCAAGCCCACGGCATCCAACCAGGCGATCACGTGTGTGTGCACTTGGAAAATAGCATCGAGAACTACATCGCCACGTTCGGGTGTGTTTTCGCCGGAGCAGTGATCGTCTTGGCGACGACCTCTCTAACGGAAAGTATGTTTTACACAAAAATAATTTCCCTTAGTTTTTATCCTGAGACATTCTCACACAGGGCGCGGAAAAAGCTAAACAGCTCGTGTCCAGCATCAGATTACGCTTCGCCTGAAATATATTATGTGCCCTCCTAAGTGCCCAGCTTGACTATCTTTGTACTCCGTGCCGTGTCGCAGGCTACATTCGTTAGTGACATGAATAGCGCGAAGGACAGGCAAGGATTTGAACACGAAAATGCGTTACTAGCGCTAACTCACAAGTGTCGTTTTAATGCGATTAAAAGAAATTGAATTAAAACGACAGTTGTGAGTTAGCTAGCACTAGTCACGCTTTTGTGTCCTTGTCCTTGTCTGCCCTTCGCGCTATCTACGTTTGTTACGTAATCGTTACGTTGCACGCTTTCTATCTATAGCTGTTTTTTAGCCCTCTGGCGAGCGCGGTTACTGGCATGTTTCGCTGAATAGTAAACGCGCGGACAATCATCGATCATTGTGCTCGCCATGGAGCCCTCCAGTACATGTATGCTTGCCGGCAAAGCGCGCAGAGCTCCAATCATATCTGGCAACAACTATTCTCGAAACGTTAGATTCACATGTGTGCTAAGCGTAATTTTAGTTTCGGAGCAAGAACCAATCCAGTGACTTTGTTCCCAAATACAAATGTACTGGGTGTATAAGAAGTGGCCAGGCTCTTTGAATCGACCGCTAAATTCGGTTTGTTAACCTATCGCGCTACGACTTTGTGCAACTTTACCCACAGATGGTGCATTCTTTTATTTTTTTTTGTAAAATTTGCAAAGAGCAGTTTCACCCGAGGAAAAAGTAAAGAAAGAAAAAGGCTTAGCTCCTATGGAAATGTGGCGAAGCCGAAGGTCTTTAAACAATACGGCGCCGTTTCGCACGGGAGCCAAGAGATGGCGCAAGCGGTCGCGATGCCAACTGCGCCAACGAACGAGCATATGGCGCCGAGAGCCGACGTCATTAGCAGACGATCTTTTCAACTCAAAAGCGGCGCGAGCTTTTCTGATATCAGTTGCCAATGCATTATTTTATCATCCTTACTGATGAAGCTTATTGAATGGACACATAATCGATTAGAAAAAAGGTCTGTCGGGATATTTCGACTGATTTTTTTCGGGCTACCGATGTCGTCTGCTTTGCAGTTCCTTGTTGTTACCGTGCTTTTTTTTTTTTTTTTGTTTCTGCGACTGTCGCCGCTTGCGGAACGCGCTCCGGTTTCGAGCCGAAAAGACTGTCTACTAAGGACGCCGGTTCTCGGCGCCGTATGCTCGTTCATTGGCGCAGTTGGCTTCGCGACCGCTTGCGCCATCTCTTGACTCCCGTGCGAAACAGCGCCTTATTGTTTGAAAGTTCGCTCTTTACAAATTTTACAACAAAAAAAAAAAAAAGCACCATCTGTGGGCAACGCTGCACAAAGTTGTAGCGCGATAGTTAAGGAACCGCATTTCGCGGTTGATTTGAAGAGCCTGGCCACTCCTCGGGATACACCCAGTAGTTATGACGGGGGATGTTATACTAGCCCTGGTAATGCCGTGCATATTCAGTTATTTTTATGCTACTGAAAACAAATAGTGGATTGCAATTAGGGTTATCCCCGGTCAGAGAAAAAACAAATTTGCTTACTTAATTACTTGATATAAAAAATAATTTGACTTTACTTAAAAAAAAGCTTTTCGTATTACTTTTCTTCATCTGAGTCGAGGAGGTTGCAGAGCAATGTCTATGTGAACCCAGCCATCAGTTCCTAGGGAGAGCTTTAGGGACCGTTCACACACTTGCAACCGAGTAGTACCGACCGAGACAAGACCGGTTTTTAGGCTTCTTGCGGTGGCGTAGGACCGAATGCGCTGCTGGGGAGCTTGTCCTTAGCCGTCGCGAGAGGCTTGGAAACCGGTCTTGTCTTGTTCGGTTCTACTCGGTTGCAAGTGCGTGAACGGGTCTTTAGTATATGTATAGGGTGTCCCAAGTCACCAGGCTCGATCTAAAATTCACCCTAAAAATCGACGCATGCACGTCCCAATCTAAACTTTTCGTCAAAGGTGTATTTCACAGGTCGGTTTTTTCTTGTAAAATTACGAAGCGTAGATCCCTGACGAAAAGTTTAGATTCCAACGTTGCAACGGGCAGGTGTCGATTTTTACGGTCCATTTTAGACCGGGCCATGGTGACTTGGGACACCCTATATAAAAATAATGTTTATGTAATTTTATCCAGAGATATACTCCAGACACAAATTATCATGACATTTAGTCTCTGACAAGCAAGTTTTACAAGAGCTACATCGAGCAGTGTATAGACTATGCACAAATTATTTTGTACATAGTTAGAGTTAGGGAGCGGGTATACGGAAGCCTGAGGAAAACCAAAGAGACACCGGTTAGCAATTTCTTAATCTGCATGTTATGAAGAGAATATATGCCCACAAATATCAGTGTTCTTTGTCCGAGACGATCTACGGTGGATCAGTTTGTCCGCTTTGAACAAATATTTAGAGAACAGCTCGGACATAAGAAGCACTGCACGTCGGTTTTCTTTCACCGAGAAAAGGCGTTTGAGGGAAGTGTTTATGCGAGTAGAAAAGCAAAATCAGAAATCAGCTCAGTGAACGTTGAAATTCTTGCGCTACACCGTAAGCCATCCCGCATCAACTTATAATCGTTCATGATCCCGGCATCTAATAATATCCCCAATTACCAACCACGCACTGTGTTGTGCTCGTAGCACGTCAGCTACAGGGTATAGAGTAAAACACCTTTTGCTCTAGTCTAAATACTAACATGCTTTCTGTTTCAGGAGAACTCCATTACCAAGTAAAGGAGGCCGATGTTGTGCACATTTTGACAGAACAAAAGTTCGTCCAGAAAGTTAAGAATGTGGATGCCGTGACGCCATTCAAGGTATGTTTGTGAAACTAATCTCTGAATCATATGACTAAGAATTACGTTAATATGTCAATTTATAAAACGAAAATAGAGAAACGTAAATTGTTTAGACCGAGGCGCAAACAGAAAGGCGAAAACCGGCACGCGATGCCTTCTTTTCTTCCCAGAAAGGACGAATCCTCTCATCCCCTCTGCAAGGGGGAGGGAAGGGGCACTTTTGTATGCCCTCTCCTTTCGGGCGAGGAGAAGGAATGATGAATGAGGGCTAGGAGCAATGAAGAGGGACATTGCGGATTTCTGCCTGGTAGAAAGCGCTGCCTGCACGTCGACCTTCAAAATTGTTTCAAGGATGGTGCTCCTTTATAGAGTATATACCGTATTTTCCGGACTATAGTCCGCACCCGGTGTATAGTCCGCAGATTCAAATTTGGGGTCAAAAATGAAAGTTTTTGCTTAGATAGTCCGCACCCGCTGCATAGTCTGCACCCAGTGCATAGTCCGCACCTGGTGCTTAGTCGACACGAAATTCTTCTCATACGCGGCACACCTTGACATATGTATGTTTTCTTTGCTCTCAAAAAAAGCCTATAATATACATAAATTATGAATAACATGCTCTTTTATTCACAAAATCCGTCCCGTCTCGTCATAATCAGCGATATTGAAAAACATAATTCCTGTATAGTCCGCACGCGTAGATTGTCCGTACAGCCAGAAATTTCAACTTTTAAACATGTATAGTCCGCGGACTATAGCCCGGAAAATACGGTATATCTCCCCAACCCCAAAACAAGTTTTATTATTTCTGTAACATAACTCCAGCCCTATTTAGGCAGTGTGTAGACTTTTAGGTACGAAGTTTGCGTAAAATTGAGGCTCCGCGTAGTGTGATTGAGATAAGCTTCCCGCTCGTCGATCGCATCCTACTAGAAGTGAGTGAAAGGTGCAAACGAGCGACTGACCTTAAGGATTTCCGATCTCTTGGAAGCTAAGGGGCGTCTTTATTTTATTTTGGAAAGGAGGATGCCGGCCGTTCGCCCTCTGGCTAACATGGTCTTCCAGGATTGGTCGCCCGATTAGATTCGGTGACAAAGTGCCGCTATTTTGTGGCCATCGATTTTGCAACCACGGTATGGTTCGGAAACTAACCCTTGAACCATGTCCTCTGGAACGTTTCAGTGAACGCAGAAGTATAGTGAAAGTCTACGATAAGAAACTGAGGCGGGGCGGGTTCCGAGCATCGTATTACCGTTCCGCAGCTAATAGGGAGTTTTAGAGAACCGTTTTCGCACATACGATACGGTACAATGGGCCCTCCGGTACGAACTGCTCATATGATACCGCAGAAGACTCGCACATAAGCGATTCGTACCGGAGGGCCCATTGTTCTGTATCGGATGTGCTAACACGGTTCCCTAAAACTCTCTATTGAGGTTGCGGTATTAACCGATAAGTATGCCGAAAAACGAGTTTCGAAGCGAAAAGCGCGAACTTAACGAAGCACGCCTTTCATTCGTTCTCATTCCCTCCTTTCCCATGTCCTGTCCACCTTTGAACTTGCGCCAACACGGCTCCCCTTGCAGTTCGAGAAAGGATGAAGCTAACAGGATCATCTTCCTTGCAGAAGACAGAGGTTGAACGTCGGCGTTTAATAACACATGGCTCGCAACAGGCCTGCGTCAACACCACCTTTGATTGACCTAAATAGGCCGTCTTTCCAGATTCCATGCTGACTGATCCGCTGATTGAGTCTCACGACGGTCGCAGTATCCCGTGTGCGGCGAGGCCAAGATTCCGGCTCCTGCTGCTTTTTCCCGTGTTTTTTCTTTTTTCTTTTTTCTTTTTTTTTTTATTGACCAGTTAGAACCTTTATCTCCGGTCACGTTCAAAGCAGAAACCGATTTGAGTCCGCATTTCTTTTTCACTACCACCGCAAGAAGAATATCCGCGACTTTTGGTTGTCCAGAGTTTAGATGAGAGAACGGGTTTCGTGTGTGCCTAACCCACGTTCGGCCCATAGCTCTTCCTTATTTTCGTGGCGCCTTACTATACTGAACAACCAAGCTACTTTAGAGCAGGTAATGTTTAATAACGGAACCACCTGATCCCTTCACTTTGCCCGTCCTTGGGCCGTCCGCCCGTGCGCAGCTTATCGCAGGGTATGTAAGCACGTTCAATATCAAGCCGTTGTGTGACCTGACGTCAGGTCACATTACGCTATGCCATGTGACACCCCGACTTTACGCCGGATCTATTGTGACCACGTCGGGTGATGTCAAAGTGACGCTCTCATCTGACGGCACCTTACGTGACACCTTGATCCAACACCCTGATGTCACGTGAGGTAAGGGTGTCACGCGAAACCGTGACGTCACGTGACAACATCACGTGACGTCAGGTCACGTAAAGTCACGGTGTCCCGTTACATCACGCTTTGACGCCAAACGTCACGTGACGTTTATTTTTTTTAATGCGATTTTTAACCGATTGCTTCTCAAATACTGTTTTATGCATTATACGCCAATGTGCAGCCATGACGTCGCGCTTCTGCGGTGGCGCTGTTGTCGGCACGGCGCATGCGCAGTCGCTTCGCGACACCCAAATATAGTTTCTACGTACAAATGGGCGACGCCCCGCACTGCCGAGAACACGACACGCGCACTCGAAAACTTTTTTTTTTCCTCTTTACCCTTCGCGCTGTCTTGTCGAGTCGCATTAAACACGTCGGCGTGGTCACACCTGGTGTGGGCAAACGCTGACTCTTTTGTAAACGACGTGTCGCTCTATAGAACCTTGAATATGAAGGTCGCCACACTTCTTTTATGCCAAAGCATAACCTGTCCCATGGAGCGAACGGGCGTTATCAGCTTTTGAAGCTGCGCCTCACGGCACCTAAATTCCCGTGCCCGATGGAGCTGTAGCAGCGAATAGATGGAAAACTCCCATTAGCTGGCGCCCGGCATAGTTCCAAGGAACGCCACCTTACAAAGAAGCCCTCTCCATGGCGCAGCGAGCCGGCCACCGGTAAGAGGGAGAAGATGGCCGGGCTCTGGAGAGCGGCCGGCCGCCAGGGGGGTAAAGGTGGGTGAGGAGGAGTGGCAAATCCCGTGCGCCGACATCCTGGGTCCCGAGTGAACGAACGCAAAAGAGAGCGACAGAACACGAGAGAAAGAAAGCAACGTTGCCATGGTAACGCGAAGAGTGAAAACTCTTAGCAATATAAACAGTGATAATTTAACGTTGTAAACTAAATTATGAGCTATTCTAACGCTTATAAAAAGCAATAAACTCATTACGCTGCATTAACTTCCCTTCTGTCGAAATCTCGGAAATCTGGTGGTTGCGCAGTTTCGTATTCCTCAACCGCGCCCAGCCGCGCCCCACTGGCGAAGCCGGGTATATGGTTTAGTTTAGCGTTAACGCGAGGCCGTACATCTGCGCGCTTTTCAAAAAGAAAGCTTCGAAAGGAACGTGAATATCTTTCCACCGGTAAGTTCGTGAATTGTTGAAGTTCACGAAACTGCTCTGATGATGTAACCGTGTTTGGGACCCAGAAGGTCTGCCTGCATGATCCGCCGCTTGCGGCAGCCAGAATGCATGGAAAAATGGCGGACCTTTTCCTTTAGAGTTAGTATGTATGACCTCTATGCCGGCCACAGAGCCCGCCTGGGCAGCCTACGCAGAGGTCGCCCAGCCGGGCTGAGCGCGGCGCGCAGCTTGAAGGAATACGCTACGTACACCAATGATTTCGCATGCCTACACGTTAGCAATCTCAAATGTCGTTGTAGCTTCTTTTTTCTTTTTTTTTTTTTGTATGTTGGGTTTGTTCGCGCATGAATCTTCTCCATTCAGTAAAGCCTGCGCGGTCACATTCCTGCGGAATACGCAGGTTTCCGATCGTTGCCTGTCGAAACTTGAAACTCAGTCGTTCTCCCTGACAGCTTTGAAAACGCACGGCGTGGCGAGACCCTAACATCTTATCGCTCCAGAGCCAATCAAATTGAGGCATTAGGCAATGAGGACGACGAGAACGAATCATGAAACAGGAAGCGCGAACGTGAAGAGCCAGATCCTGCCTTTCTCAAGCAGTCAGCGACAATAGGCAACACCACCTAGACAGAAGGTCTCCGCAGGCGTCATCACAGTCAGATCGATCGAGGCGTGAGATTGGCCACGAGTGCTGTGTCAGTGTTCGGCAGGGGCTCGTGTCCAATCAGCGCGTCCAAGGTCGGGCTCGGGCCCAATAGCTGAATTAGCGCGATCCGACTCTCATGACGTTTCATAGAGTGAGAGGTGACCATGCGGAGGCCTTTTGGTGTTACTATAGGCCACAAAACGCAATGTGCGCAGGGAGATTTTGATTGGATGGTATTCTTAGCTTCATCATTTGTTATGATCGTTCCGTTATTCACCGTGATTGGCAGTCAGCATGTCGTGCAGAAAAGTGAACGCGCATACGTCTTAAAAATGTTGGTAAAAAGTGGGAGAAAAAGATGGCTGTTTAAAGCCTCTGCTTCGTTGGCCGATATATTGCCGCACGCGCAGCTCACCAAGCAGGCAGCGCGCTCGTGGCCTAACGGTTATCGCGCTTGCTTCCACGCCAAGAGCCAAGGTCCGATTCCTGGCCTCGGATACACTTTTTTGTTGACTCTGTAATGTGATGCTTTATACTTTGTCTCATCCTACGATGGACTAAAGGCCAAAGCCACGGGCCGCCTGGTTCAATCATGTTCCACGCTAAACTATGGCATGCATATCATTGACTAGGGGTGGACGAATAATGCACCAAACCCTAAAACGCTGCATCATTTCTATAACTTCGACACTGAAAACAGTCTGTACGTTGTGGCTTTTTTCGCAATGTAAAATTGTTGAGTCACTCACTGCTATTTGATTCCAACCACTGTCCACTTATCCCCATCAGTGATTCAAGACGCGGGCGCTCATACATGCACCAAAGCGCAATATCACGCAATTTCTAAGTGACTCGTGATTGGATCTGGCCGTCCGTAGTTTTTGCCTTTAGTCCATCGCAGGGTGAGACGAAGGTAAATTCGAGAACCGTGTTGCTGATTCGAGGTTAGAAAGTTCTATGCCCGAAACTTATGCGTCGATTGTTCCAGAAGCCCACGCGCGTATAAAAGGGGCTTCGCGTGGCAAGCCGCACTAAGTCTCGCCCTAGCGTTCGATCCTGCTGTTACGCCGACTTCAACGCACGCGACGCCCTGTTGTTATTTTCTGTTTCCTTTTTATTTTGGGCACAAGTTCGATCCATTAAACTTTTCAGTTTCCTCAGTTACCCTCTGTTTCGTCCCCTCGCCATTCGTGACTATAGCACTAATAAACTCGGGACTAATACATAAAAGTCTTTATTCTAAAGGATTGTGTCCATATTGCAGGGTCTCTTTGTGATGGGAGAGGCCGCAGGATTCGTCTCCACCTCCACGTTTTCTCGTTGGAAGGAATTGGAGTTCCAAGAGATCCCCGTACCGGACCCGGAGCGCACCCTGATGGCCCTGGCATACACGTCGGGCACCACGGGACTTCCCAAGCCCGTCGAAATCACGCACTACAACTTCGTAGCTTCATTTTATACGACCGCGTATGTACTAAGCACACCTGTAGTTATAATGTCGTTGCCATTTTGTTGTTGTTGTTAAGATGACCATAAGCATGATGCAATCTCCAAATTTCTAAGCTGCTGCTTAAACACTTACAAGAAATGTTCATATGTGTATTTTATGAGACAGGATAACTGGGCTAATTTGCGTGGGTTCATCTTGAAACAGCGTGAATGTTACACGAACGAAAAAAAGAAGCGCGCGATACAAGGGCTCACTAATAACTGAAAACTTTTTGTGGATAAGCCGCAAAAAAAAAAAAAACATTCAAGAACACAGAGCTTTATACTATAATCAAGATGAAATGACGCCTGCGCATCACCGAATAGACCGATCTCACCAGCCAGTTTGACTACGCCACCGCTGCAACAATGCATCGAGGGAACTTTAGTCTGTCTGTACGCGCGAGAACCAAGCTTGACCTCTGCGCGTGTATAGAGCACGAGAAGGCACGAGCTCTCGCGTGCACGGCCGTCTGCCTCCTGTGAACTAAAGTTATGGCGGCTTTACGCATGCGCCAAACGCTTAGTGAGATCGGTCTATTAGGTGCTATTGGTTATACAATTCCATGGGCGATATTTCCTGATATAAAAATTCTACCTCAGTGTCCATCAATGCCAAGGAAGCCTGACTTACGCAGGTTGTACCCTCCTTTTTTTTATTTTTTGAGCCTCTATCCGATACTTTATTTGTCGCCCTAGGAACACGTGTCTTCTTACACACAATAAAAGGTCTGTACCGACAATCTACATCCTATCGCGTGTCACGTTTTAGTTAAAAAATCATACTTGGAGATCTTGCTTTTTTTCTGTTTTGTATAGGTTGTTAATGAACATATATATTACTAGATGATCGCTAACGTAAATTCTAATTAGGTAACTTGGGATAGGTAATCGTAATTTCTAAAAAAAAGCAATAAAGGCGAAAATAGAGGCACTAACTTTCGTTGCTTCATTTTCATTACAGTCATAACCATTTACCCCAATAACCTGCACTAAGTACTGTCGTCGCACATTTTGTAAAATTGTCGACGATGGACATGTTCGCAGGTGACCGAGTCATCGATTGCGATTTTCGGGCTAGTTTTACAACACTAAAATCAATTGTAGACACCCATAAATATTACGAACTGCTGGACTTCCGTACCTTAGCACCCTCTGTAGATCACGATCAGTGCACACCCCATGCCTCATGAAGAAGTAGACACATACGCATCGTTCACTCATTTAGAATACTATTCAAGGGTCTTAAAATTGAAATGTTTCTAAACATTGTCTCTTTTCCCTCCCCTTAAGTCATTGGGACGGGCTTCTGAATGAACCCTTGCAGGAAATGCGGCACTAGAACCGACGGAGATGTCACGCTGGCATGGAACCAACTGGCTCACGTCTCAGGGCTATGGAGTATCCTCACGGCTTTGGCTGGAACAATCTGCGTAGTTGTCCCTCATACCTTAGGGATAAACCGGTACGCCGATATGATCGACAAATTCAAGGTGAGGGGGCACGCGAACTATGCTTCTATTTATTGACTGCTGGGGCTAATGCAACTTAAGTTAAAACAGCGAAAGCGGTACATTTATAGGAAAACTTTAAAAGTAGAAGAATTTAATACTAAGCTACTTCAAAGCAAGGAACACAGGACTGAAGCCGTCTCGCCTTTTTCTTTTTAATAGGAAAATGAGTTGGTGGACAGAGTATTGTCAAAACCGTCGCGTACAGTTTTTCTCGTAAATTTATTCCTTATTTATTTATATTTAGCAAATACCTTTTCAAAATCTCTCTCAGAAAAGTTCATCATGCAGATTGGAGAAAATACACCCACACATAATATTGCATTGCTGTTTGCGATGAGTATAGATCCCGCAATTCCGATTATGTTCCTTGCGGCTTGTTTAATAATTTAAAGAATTGTATCTAAACTTGTAGGCCAAGCCTTAGTTTGGAGAAGGTCTTCTTTAGCACTAGCAGATGCGCCAAGTAAGCATGGCAGGTCGTTCACGTTCGTCTTACTCGCGCTTGCACATTGAGGTGCCGTCTAATGAAGCCTATCTCGTCTCCTTTCTTGTAGGTAACTCTTCTTGTTGGCTTTCCAGGGCGTCTTGAGAAATTGGTGCATTACGTTCACTCCACGGGTAGAAGACTCATCACTGTGCAGGAAGTCGGCGTCGGGGGCGGCGCGCTCTCAAAGCAGCTCGCGGAACTAACCATGAGCGTTTTTGAAAACCTTCGAAGTCTGAGGTTGTTCTACGGAATGACAGAATCAAACGGCTTTGTATGTGCCCCGCCGAAGGATGTCGTCTCTTACACTGACATTGGGTATCCTGTTCTCATGAGCGAAATCAAGGTAACGAAATTTCTTTTTTTTTTTTTTTGGGGGGGGGGGGGGGGGTTTATTTGTCTTCTTAGCGGAGCCTGTAATTCTGATTCTTAGGATGCATTGACTTGTGACTGTAATACATGCAGATAGAACATTTTGTATCGTGTCTTAAGGCCAGATATATGAGGCTTTCTTGAATAAAAATTTCAAAAAGCTTAAAAACAAATTTTCCGCCAAATGAGAAACAAAATGGGCCGAAATCGCTGCTGTCATCACGCTGATTCTCGAAGAAATGCGTAAGCATTTCGCGAAGTGATATTATATAACAAAACATCGTGAATGCAGCGTCTCAGCGCTTTCCGCTGGGTGAACATTCCCGAAACTTTTGTTCTCCCTGGTGCAAGCAGATCAGGTCACTCAGCGTTTGCATAAAGGACATCCGCGCGATGCGTAAAACCGACCGAGCCATTTCCTTGTTGTGCATTCATGTGCATACAGGGGCGACGACACCGTGCGCTTACTGCCCGGTGACATATGGTAACACTACTGCTCGTCATGAACGGCGTGGCAAGCCGAAGAACGCAACGTGCAGCACGCATGCGTTCACATGCCTCTAAAGCCGGCTGCATGAGCTTCCGAGGGCGTCCAAAGCGCGCACTAGCACGCCGGCCGTGTGACGTAACACCTTACAACCGAGGTGCAGTGGGGGACAGCGGGGCTATGGCGTAGTTGGACCGCCGGCGGGATGCCGCTAGGCGGCGTGCACGTCTGGCCCAAAAGATTGGTTAATATTTTTGTAATAAGCCACGCGCAGAATGTCGCCACGATGCGGCGTGAACGGGAGGACGGGGAGGGTTGACACGCGTCCCAGTGATACACCTGTCGTCCCTCGCTGTGCGGTTCCAAAATTGGCGAAGGAGGACGTCGCCGGCGATCTTCGGCGTCTAGTTGTGACGTCACGGCTTACACCGACCCCGTTGCTAAGCAGTGGTTAATGTCTCCCACCGGCGGCAGGGGGTCTATGTAGTAGTCACCTCGGGGGAAGGGGGGGGGGGGGGGGCGTCAGCGTTTAGCTGGCATAGCTAAACGCTGCGTCAGAAACACACCAAAATAAATAATGTTGTACGCATGGATTTAGTTCTTAACATCGTCGCCGTCGAAAAGATCCCCGAGACCCCTCTGAAATTAAAGGCCCACGATCAGACTCGAGACTCCGGAAGGGTGAAAATCCTCCTCACCATGGGAAAGAGAGGAAACAGGCAACGGTGGACAGGGTAGAAGGAGGGATTGGAGGAAGCGAAGGAAAAATGGAAAGAGCGAACTGGTCGTCGGTGTTTGAGCACTGGTTGCTATGCGTCCTATCCTCTCGAAATATGCACCGTGCCGCCATCTGTCGACGCTTGCAGGAGGTATTTCCTAGCCAGTTTCCAGAGCCAGAGCGGCCGTGGCGCCACCCCTCGGCGACGCTGCGAACCTTGAATACGCGTTCTCACCCCACTCCACCGTCAGCGCATATACCAACCCCCCCCCCCCCCCCCCCCCCGCCCCCCCAAAGAAAAAAAACACAGTACAGAAATTGAAAGATTAGTCCAAAAGCTTGGTTCGCGGCACGTCCGGAACGTTGGGATCACGGAAACATTCGATTGACATCTGAATATCCTCTTAGTTTGCACCCCACTTGTTTCAAATATTTTTTTTTTTTTTAAAGTGGCAATTCTTTCTTTAGGTCGTAAACGTGACCAATGGTGAATCACTGGGACCGAATGAGCCTGGCGAGCTCTGCTACCGGTCACCCACGGCATCTCGAGGCTATTACAAGCGTCCTCTGGAAACTGCCCAGTTCAGAGACAGCGAGGGATGGTGTCGGTCTGGTAAGTATTTCCCTTAATGAACTCGGGGTCGGTTTCGCACCACTTCCAATAAAAATGAGTCTTCCGTCGATTATTACCACGTACTGTTAAGGCCGTCACTTTTCGGTAAAAGTCACTAACAATTTGAGAACGGCAAGGCATCTCTTTCGAATACCCAACCTCAGCACGCGTTCGTTGCATTTCGTCCTTCTTTGGCTGCGTGTCCACGATAGAGGCTCACGAGACAGTATTATACGTACAATGCCGTACGTATAATACTGAATTCTGACTGACGCACATACCTCCCCCCTCTTTAAACATCATAAAATATGAAATGTTTACCAACTGTACGCATGTAGACTTGCAATCTACATTTTTCAGGGCTGGAGACTTCCGCAACAAACGCATCTTTCATTTTGCATCCTACCAGGCCATCATTATGACACACGGCATGATATGTACATACTTCCCAAACTTAAGACAAACATAGCCACACAAACACTGGTGTATCAAATCCCGAACTATTTAAACAGGTGTAGTGACCTTCAAAAACTGATCGCACCAGTACTTCAATAAACAAATGTAAATGAATACTGAAAGACACCTTAATAAAAATAGAACCATAAACATAATATCCAATTGAAACTGAAGTGACTGTTTGGTATGAATTGTTCATCTGCGACTTGTTATTCGCATTTTTTTTTCTTTTCATTTGTTGTAATACTGTTGTTAATGCAGAAAAATATGATTTGATCACAGCGTTTTTGATATTTTGTTCCGTTATCGACAGTAACTTTTCCGTTATCGAGGCCTGGTCAGTCCATCTGGTTTTTTGCCTTTATGCTGCAGACAATCTGTACTGTCTAAAAAAATTTAATTATAAAAAAGGTATGAAGTAGACCCGCTAGATAACCTACGTTTCAGGGTAACGACACTTACCTTTGTTAGTGGTTAAAATCATGGTGGCAGGTTATCTCAAGCTTTATTTGAAATCACAGGAAACGCTTCTCCGTCATCCAAAAATGTTTAAACAATTTACGACATAGCAAAGCAATATTACATGACTTAAAAGTAAAACACAAAGCCAATCACAAGGCGTCGGTGGTCAGGACACTCTTAACCAGGGCAAGGATCATCTGCTGATCGGAAGAGGTCAGAAGAAAGGAGGAACAAACCGTCATTTTTGACCTTAAGGTGCAACCCCACCGTGCATGACGTTTTCATGCTTTTTTGATGTCTTATCACTTTCTTTCTATGTATCTTACATTTATAAAGTTAATGTCAAATTAAAGAGCTGTTTTTCAACGATACTTTAATGTCTCGATATTACGATTATTTTAAGTGGTTAGTTAATTATCTAGCTTTTAATAGACCAGAGTCTCTAATATTGAAAAAATTATTTCTCGAGTTATAACGTTCCGTTGTCCACGATGTTTTACGTGAGCGTTCGGTTGGATGTAATAAAGTAAAAAAAGTAAGCAACGAACTGTACAGATGATGTATATTTTAAAATAAAAAATAAAGTTTAAAATTGTATTTTTTTATGGCGCTGTAAAAACGGAATCACGTCAACTAATCGAAATAACGAGACATTAAATTATGAAGCATCCTTCGATATTACAATTTCCAGAACTTCCATATTGATATATTACACGTTAATAATGTTATAAGACCTGAAACTTTTCCCTTTCAGTTACGGCAAATTGTAGTTTCTTATTATAAAATACAGATGGCGACACGTGTTCAAGAAGAGCTTGATGTGCATTTTTCGTCGTGTGCCGCTTGGAACGCCACGGGAAAGGCAGAAAAAGGGCCAGATGTCAGGGTGTCACACTGATCTCAATGACAATTGCTGGATCGCGCTTGCCGCTCCCGCAAGTGAAGCCACCGGGCCTCACTCGCTTGGGATACGATTTGCCGTTTTTGCTAGCCTTTGCTGCCGTTTTCCAGCGTGCTGACGACACGTTTTCTACTCGTTCGTCGTCATTCGCCGAAGAAGTTTTTTGAAGACTCTGTGTATTGTTGAGACTTGCCGTTGTGAACACGTGGAAAAGTTTACGAAAGTGCAGTGTCGCAGGAAAAAGGCACAACGCGTCGAAAGGAAGGGCTGGCGGCGTGTTCAAAGCATCCTTGGCACGCCGAAGTGCCGTGTCTCTGTGCCTTCGCGCGCTTGGATACCGACCAAGAACCGACGCCGTGTGAATGTGTTTAGCGAGTGCAATGTGCGTGAAGCCGTGTCAAAAGGTACAACTCGTCGAAAACGTGTCGCCGGTGTCGCGGCGTGATCAAAGCTTCCTTGGCACGCCGAGTGACGCATCTTTGTGCCTTCGCACGCTTGGATACCGGTCAAGAATTGACGCCGCGCCAAAGTTCTGAACGTGTGTCGCGCGTAGATGCCTTTAGATCATTTATATATATCGGCCACGGAGTTCTGGATCGTCCAGCTGTTCCGGTGAGTTGCTATCAATAAAAGGGGGAGATCTGTACGTGTTCTTATGTACTATATTAACCATGGCTATGTCCCAAATCTACTCTAATAGATTCCGTTGGAGCACGAATAGGGCAACGTTGTGGAACCAGGGGGGTTTTCGAAAGCAAAAGTACAAGACGACGAGAATGAAAATCTTTGAAGCGCGGCCGATATGGTCGTGTGCAATCTGTTGACCAATTACAATTAGGCGAGCCGCGCTCAAACGTCAAGTGCAATTAAGTGGGTTGATAATAAGCCAGCACTGATCAGTGATGAGGAGCTGTTGTGCACAGTATTGTGGAAATCGTCTAAGGACGAAAAAAAGACGTACCTTCTCCCCATCTTCCGTCGCTAGTGGACGCTGGATTAAGCTCGTTCCTAAACCGCGAGAGGAAAAGACGCTGATCCAGAGGCATGAACAGCTTCACGCACATTGCACTCGCTGAACACATACACACGGCGTCGGTTCTTGGTCGGTATCCAAGCGTGCGAAGGCACAGAGACACGGCACTTCGGCGTGCCAAGGATGCTTTGAACACGCCGCCAGCCCTTCCTTTCTACGCGTTGTGCCTTTTTCCTGCGACACTGCACTTTCGTAAACTTTTCCACGTGTTCACAACGGCAAGTCTCAACAATACACAGAGTCTTCAAAAAACTTCTTCGGCGAATGACGACGAACGAGTAGAAAACGTGTCGTCAGCACGCTGGAAAACCGCAGCAAAGGCTAGCAAAAACGGCAAATCGTATCCCAAGCGAGTGAAGCCCGGTGGCTTCACTTGCGCTGCAGCGAACAAGCGGGGAAGCGCGATCCAGCAATTGTCATAGAGATCAGTGGGGTGTCAGATGCCTGGATGTTCGCAGTGAGCGAGCCAGAGATGTCAGAACAACAAGCGCGAGACTGCGGGTGCACCACAGCTCCTTTTCGCGCGTTCTACTGTGCGTCGGTTCACATGCCGATCGCGATCCAAATGAAATAAGCGCCATGAAATGCATTCTGCCATTTCAGATTCCGCCACGTATGCGAAAACGTTTTAATGCTTTTATCACTTGCAAAAAATCATTTTCGCAATCAAACTATGCTTGTCGGCATGGTTCGACTATATTTCGTTTCAAAAACCACCTCGGTGGCTCTTAAGTAGCAATAATATTAAAACAAAACACAAAACATTAAATCGTCTCGGTGTCTCCGAGCTAACGCGCTGGCTCATGAATCTATATTTTTTGGATTTAAATATCGGCCGAGGTGCCCATAATCCGACGGAGGCCAATCTGAGATTTCGGTTGCACGTCAAAAGATCTCCAGTTAGTCCAAATAAACCCGCATTTTTTTTTTTTTTAATAGGGCATGTTAAGCAATTTGTGTTGGTTTGGCTTGTGAGATACTTAGTTCAGAGCGGAGCAAACGCTATGGGCTGATGAAGCCACTGAAGCATCGCAAAGAGCGCGAGGTTAAGCTGTTCGTTCTCTATCTGTGCATATATATGGTCGGGATAAACTAGAGCTACTAAATAAGCTACGCTTCATACACATCTTGGTGCTTAAAATGATGGTTGTAAGTTATCTGAAACTTTATCTGAAATCACAGGAAACGCTTTTCCGTCCTCCACAAATGTTTAAACAGTTCGAGAAAAAGCAAAGCAATATTACGTGAGCTACCTGACACCGAATGCTGAGGAAGTCGCACTTTTGAATCATGACGATCAGCCGTTGCGTTTGATTTGTTACTAACCAACAAGATGGCGGCGCCCACAACAATATCGGGATAACAAGTGCCGATACTCTAAGCGTAGCTCATTTGGTGTACCTCCCAGGCTAAACCTAAAGCCCCTCCATCCTGGGAAAAATGGCGCCATTCATTGTTGTGGAAATGCTCGAGGCACGTGCCGCGCGCCACTTCTGGGAGATTCATGGCGTCTGAAATCTAGCTCAGCGTTGCGCTGTGCCGCCGTGATCTTCCCAAGAGCTGCAGATTGCACGTGCCTCGTGCATCGACGAAACTTGCGCTACTCTTGAAACATGAAGGGGCTTTAGCTAAACCAAGTGCGGTGGGGGATCGTTGACCGAGTATGTTGTGGCACCGCAGACCAGAGCACGTGGAGAAATGCTTGAGCGCGAGCTCCTTTCAGGGCACGGAGCTCACGCTGCAAAACCTGTAGGGTCTAAATCCCCTCGGTGCCGTTTGCGCTGGTCTTTCATGTAACCCCAAACGTGCCAGTGCACGAGGCCCGTCTCTCGAGCCGCCCTTGGAGGCAAATGGCGGCGCAGCACTAAAATGACTGGCCCTTGAAAAAGAATGGCGCTGGAGCACCCACTCGTGGCACGTGTCTTGCGCGTTTCCACAACAATGGTTGGCGGTACTTGTAAAAAACGCTTTTACCAAGGGGCTTTGGCAGGGACCCTGGGTTCAGTCGCCCATCTGCATCCTACCGTCGTGCGATCGTGTACCACATATACTGCGTAATGCACGTTAAAGACACCGAGCTGACAGTTGTACTATTGGGGGAAAAAGAAATGCGAACAGAGGAGCGCGTGGCTCGCGGTACAGGCTGCG